CGTGGAGAGTTTACACCTCCCACCTTTATAATGATTAAAGCAGCTATAGTCTGAGATCAATGGGTAAATACTGCCTCATTTAAAGATTGTGTCACTAAGGTCAAAACAAAGTCACAAAATAACATGATAAATTAAACTCAGGACAAGACCAGTGCCTCATTTATTACTTTCTAAAACATAACATTGTTAAAAGTGTTGAAGTACTAAAACTAAAATCATATGGATTTTGAATATACCTAATGAATCTTGGCAATTTAAAAAATACTACATTAAGTTTATTGTTTAATGTATGTGTGTGTTACCATTCAGTAGTTCAATAAGAGCAGGTATAATGCCAGATTTGGCCAACATGGCAGCACAGGCATCGTCCATGGAAACAGTGCCGATCATTATCACCACCTCTAAGATAAGGTCGTCCTCTGCTGAGCCTGGAGTGCAGTGAGAGGAGAAGGGACCAAAGAAGAAACGTAAGTATTTCTGTTGTTGGATGAGACCATGTGAGATGTTGGTGTCATCGCATTCTTCATTAGATTGTATCAACCTTAGGGCATCAACAGGTTTGATTAATACCTGGTTTGAGTCCATCTTTGAGGTACGGTACCAGGTTGTACTCCTTTAGCACCAGCTCCCAGTCCAGGTCAGGTATGGTGAGGTTGGCCAGTGTCCCCAGACACTCGAGTACCCACTCCTCCTCTTCATCTGCTCGGATCTCAGCTGCCAGGTCCCCAACATAATCCTTATCAAATTAGTAACAAAAGAGAAAGTTAGTCTTTTTCACGTAGAGGCCCACAGGTCAAAAACCAGTTTGTACCAGTGTTTTTTCTGACTCTTTTATATGAGCTCCTCGTTTAGGAATGTGTGGTGTGGATTATTGTCTGAGTGACTTACTATGAAAAGTGGTTTGGTTGGTCCATCGTGTTGTGAAATGTTTCTGATCATCTTCATCAGCAGACAGTCCTTCATCTTCAGAGCTCTCTTCATGAGCATCCTCAGTCCATTTCCTTCAGGGAGCAGGAAGTACAAGTAAACAAGACAGTACCAGTGGCCCAGAGTTCATTTCTCACAGTGACGTATTTCACAGCCGTGTGTTTTGTAGTAGTGTACCTTACATGTGCAAATTACAAAGTAGTGCAGTATACTGTAGTTACAATAAATACTATTAATTATTTCTTTGTAAAATTTGTAAAGCACAACTTAGACTGAGTTGTGCCACAATTCAGACATAGAGAAACGATATTCAAACATCACTGAAGTATTTTACTACAGTATATGTTGAGAGAGAAAGATAAGATAAAAAATAAAATGACAGTCCAGTTCATTCCACACCTTCACACATAAGCTGTGCACTCCTCTTGTTTGCAGCCAGGTTAATGCAGATGGTGATGAGTTCAGCTTCAGTCTCTTCCTCCCCACATTCGAACAGCATCTGCATAAGCTGCAGAAACACAGTTGTTACAAAGGTTGATTTTACAGGAGTTTAAGTTCACGCCTAATTTAGTTCAGGTTTTGAACTTGTGCATGTGCATTTCAGTGTCTGCTGGTGTACCTGAGGTACGCAGTCAGTGTAAACAAACATGCCCTTGAATCGGTCGTCCATGCTGATGTGATACAGGATCCGCATGACGATCTGTCGATGGTTGTCATCACCTGAAAAGACAGAAGACAGTCCCATATTTGTCATGTAAAAAAGATGGACCTAATAAAGTCCACACTTAACAGACGTGTAAGTTGATGTAAACAATACTTGTACTTTTGCAGTGACACATTTAATACTTGTTTACTCAATAATCCAGTTAGTTTAGGTAGCAGTCCCACTTCCACCATCTTGGCTCGCAGCCCAGAGTCGAAGGAGAGGTTGAACAGCAGACGCAGTGTCACACTTAATAAATCCTCGTGGTCACATGGCACCAGTCGAGCCAGTCGCTCGACTGTGTCCACCTCGGCCTGCAGAGCAAAGACAGATTGAATTGGAAACAACAATTGTAAATAAGGAGGAGGAGGAGAGAAAGAACAGTTTGGTGAACATCCTATCTCTTACCATGTCATTCTTGTTTTCCAAAAAGATGGACAGTTTCTTCAGGAAGGACACCACCAACACTAGCAGTTCCTCATCATCCCGATCGAGGACTTTGACCAGAAGCCCAACGATGTTCTTGTTCCTCATCTTCAGCTCCGTCCTGGTGTCCTCAGCCAGGTTCAACAGGAGGTAAATTGACACTAACATGAAGAGAAATAGGAAATTAGAAAACAAACTGTGAAACACAACCAATAACACTTTGGAGTAAAACAATGTTCTGTGGGAGTTGAAATGCTAACCTACCTCTGAGCAGCTGTTCCTGTTTGGCCCTCAGGCCTTGGTACTTTCTAAAAGCTTTGTCCTGGTCTCTCCTCAGTGTGCCATCCTCTGGTGCAGACTCACGTACAAAATATAAGGTCAAGGAATATTGTTGATATCCCTAATGTCTCACTGAGTGAAGATGAACAGTAGATACTTTGTGGTGCACAGGGAAACGCCACACACAGTGTAGGCAGGTGATAACAAAAAGTGACTGAATGAGGGAAAGGTAAAGGATATAAGCTTTGTTCTTTTTGCGCAGCTCCTCACACCAGACGTCATGTCTCTTCAGCTCATGTTCCAACACACTCATGCACAGGGCACCGATTTTGTAATGACTCACCACTGCATGAAACTGGGAGAAACTGGAAAAGAGGAGAAGATGGATGAGGCAGGGTTTTGATGAGAGAAGAAGGAAACTGAAGATGAGGAAAGAATGAGGATTTAAGAACAGAAGGGGTGTGTGTGTTACCTGGAGAAACAAAAGAAGATATAAATGATAATGGTGGCCAGCTCTACACTTTGTTTCCAGTCTTCTCTCAGTACTCTGGCCAATGCACCTAGGGCTGCCTCTAAAAACAGGGAAACACATGAGATCAGACAGAGAGATCGATCTGACCCACTGTTGTAAAGATAAAACCTACAGTATCTACTGTCTCATCACTGTACCCCCATGAATGGCCTTCACAAGTTAACGACCCACTGGCATTTCCTGTAATGCTAAATTACTATAATCATGCTTTTAACAGGAAGTGTTTTTTTTTAAATGACAGCTTTTGGACCTGAGTGCAGCAGAGATGCTGGTATTGGCTGGTATTTTCAGAAGTCTTTTGGTGAAGTTTCCCTGCTTTGTATAAAATCCTGCTCTCACCGTTGTGCAGCAGCTCCTCCAGGTTGGCAGGGTTACGGGCGAGCTGCAGAATGAGCGCCGCTCCTCTGATCTTCTCTGGAATTCCTTCATAGAGCAGCTCCACATATTCGTCCACTGTTGTTATGACAGCTTCCTCATTTAACTGCACAAACAAACATGAACACAGTTACATGTTAATGACTAGAAACACTGTAGAAGATGGTTTGATTGTTGCATTATATTAGAAATAAACAGTCAAATATGTGGACAGAGAAGATTATCTGTTTTCACTTAATGGTTTTTTTTCTATCCCTCACCTCCATGCCTTCAAAAGGAGCCAAGTCTTTTGGTTTCACATTTCTTGTGTCTTTCTTTTCCATTGCTGAAACAATAAAAAAATAGATTGTGATTAATTATCAAAACAAGGACCACAGTTTAATTAAAAGGAAACAGAGGCTGGTTATCAATGACTTGATTAACCACAAATATTATTGATTATTTGATGATCCAAGTTAGTTTAGACCTTTAGCTTCCACTGGTGATGTCTTTCTGTTCTGCAGGTAGTAAAGAAGCTGTTCCACCTCTGGGAGACGAGAGGAAGGGATGAGCTTACACTCCTCCACCACTTTCCTGGCCAGAGCTCCAACATCTGTGGTAGGAGACAGACTCTTCACACGAATACTGGAAGATTTAAAAAAAAGAAAATTAGAAGGTTTAGTCCACAATCACAAAATACTCATTGCATTACACAGTGACATATGACTTACATTTTTTGCCCCTCTTTACGATCTCCCAGCATCTGCCCTCCAGTCTCAGCTAAAATGGAGGCCTCCACCTCATAGTGGACCACAAGGGCGATCTCCATAGGATGGACATCCAGACTGCCAACAGTGACTTTCCTTCAGAATAAAGACGAAGAGATGAATAAACAGGTAACAAAAAAAAAAAAACATTTGCTTAACATGTCACTTTCCTCTAGTCCTAGCCTCCTTTTAAATAAATCAGTTCTTGATGGTTTATTTGGTATGGTTCCACAGATTGTACTTTTGATTGGAAAATATTTCTACTACTACAGTACTACATTAAAAAAGCTTGTATTAATGTGTATTTTGAGGCATCTAAATTTGTGGGGGGAAATATACATATGTGTATAACTGTATAACGTTATAATCAACAGCATCTTGAATCATGTTAATCTGGGCTAATCATTTTACAGCTTCAAAAACAATGTACAAAGACACGCCCAGACTGCGACTTCTTATATCGGATGCTCAGTGTGGCTAAAGCTTTTTTTTTTAATTATTAGTTTGTTTGTTATTAAGTTATAATTTTTTTTAATAATAACCTTTCTTGGTCCAGGAGCTTACCTAGCGACAGCTAATAGACACACAAATAGTTTATGATATTGTTAAAATTAGCATCGCAGCTGCTTGCTAGCCAGGTTAGCTGTAACCCAGATATTACAGCCTATTTTTTCATCATCACCATCACTGTAAAGACACCGCAGACAAAAACATTTCAAACACATTATTTGATATTTATTTACCGTTTGCCATATGCATTTGGTGGACATTTCTGCATTTTTCTAGTCTCTGGGTTTTAATCGGTAGCCTTATTAAAAGGAGGATGGATTTTTGCAGATATACAGTATCTTTTATCATAGCGTTGGGCCTGATGTTTGCCGTCGGAACCGGAGACAGAATTCCATTGCACAGAATAGTTAGAAGAGATAAAAGTGTCGCTGAACTGTTTACCTTTAATGACATGTCAGGAGAAAGGCATCGATCACGATGATACAGATTTAAAAGGGTGTGTGTTTATGTGGATATACAGTCTTATCGTTATCATCTAAGAGCACGCTTACCGTTTGAGGTATCGGGCGTCATCCTGCATCTTCCTCAGATGTAAGGTGTCCAGCTCTGTTGAATTAAAGTAAAAAACAAAAAATCACGCTCACATTTAATGCATTTCCTAAAACACGATCGTGCGTATACCGCTGTTACCACCCAGTTGACAGTACGGACTACAAGTATGAACGTCTTCTTCTCTTTTTACTGGCGGTTGACTGCGGGACTAAGTCCAACACCGCCCTCTACCGACACTTCCGAGTCATAGAGAAGAGTCTGTTAATATTGTGTTTTGTATTCTGCACATTTGATACGTGTGCTTGAGCAATGTTTTTATAAAACGTTTTTAAAGGATTACTGAGCAACTACAATATGTTAACAATACCAATATTATATACCAGTTTTTACTAATTACCTCAACTGAATCCATCACTATGTTTTCATGACAGAGGAAATGTCTTTTCTGCCCCTAAGGTTCCTGAAATCCTTTATTTAGATTTACTTGAACGACAAGGTTACAAACATGGCAAATATAGTTCCGCAGCTCATGTGACCCGTGATCTAAAAATGCAGATTTCTTCTGATCTTTAATGGCCACACGCTATGTAACATGACACAGGGCTTCTTAGATATACATTCCCTCATTTCCTCCTCAGCATCCCTTCTTCCTTACATCATAAAATCACGTTGGTGTCTCCTTACCACCAGCAGAACCTGGTTCTTGACAATGTTTATTCACACACTTCACTTGATGTCAATACATTTTCTATATCCCTGATGTTATTAGTTTTGTTTGATGATCATTTATTACCTTTAATCGTCACTGAGTCTTAAAAGTATAAATGTTTTATAAGTGTGTCTATGTTTTGTGCTGCTGCCTGCCTTGGCAGGGAAACTTTTGCAAAAGAGATCATGGATCTTAACCAGTCCTTTTAATGGATAAATGTTGACTCAGGAGATACCTGGGTGAAGTTTAACTTGACACAAAGCTAAAATGTTCCATGAATACAGCAGCTGTTGACTTAACCCTACCTATAGATCTCGATCCCATATGTCAACATTGGGATTTGCTTGATAAACAAGTCAGATCCGTGGAGGAACTTAAACTTACAGGACTCAAAGGATCTCTGCAGACATCTGGTTTCCAGATATCACAGCACACTTCTGAGGTCTAGTGGATTTATGCCTCAATGGGTCAGGACTTTTGTTGTAGAACGGGGGGTTATATGTTATAGGTTTTTCGCTGTACAGTCGTCTAAAATCACAATTAGAGTCAACTTGTTTCTTTTCAGCTGCACATTTGACCCATTTTAATGTTGTTTGTTTTCAAGCATTGTATTACAGTTTCATGCATAATTCATTGTTTTTTATGGTGTTTGCTCTATACACTATGTATTAGTTTGCATATAGGGCGGGTCTGAACTGTGACAGGATGAGACTGAGAACAGGGAGGAGGAGGAGGAGGAAGAAGAGAGATGAGACAGTGGAGGAGAGCAGGAGCTGAGACAAAGCTAACAAGTCAAACTCCACTCTCACACATCCACAATGTTAGGGCAGTCTGTTGGATGAACTGAGACATCTTTTTATTTCGGCCAACCACAGCAGGAGTGGGCTCCATACCTGTATCAGCACCATGCCGGTGAGGAGGGGCCATATGGCTCCTCAGAACATGTTCCTGGACACTATCATCCGCAAGTTTGAGGAACAAAGTAAGTAAACCCCTGGACTTCATGTGTGTTTTGTAGTTTTGAACTTCTTATCACTTATGAAATATGCAAACCATTTTTGAAAGATAAAATAATTTTTAATATATATTATTATCAATTTAATATTATTGATAATAATAATTTGCAATGTCAATCATTCTGATTACTTCTTTCCTTATCGGTGCTTGTGGAATAACTTATTTGTTGGTGCAACATAGGAAAAAGAAGAATATTAATATAAGCTGTACCTGCACTTTGTGGTTCTGATGGTTATGTGGTTTAAACCCCAACAAACTTCTTCACCTATTATAATGAATGTATCTTTACCACACCTTCCTTCCTTCCTTTATATGTAGATCGAAAGTTCATCATCGCTAATGCACAGGTGGAGAACTGTGCCATTATTTTCTGTAATGACGCCTTCTGTGGGATGTGTGGTTACACGCGGGCTGAGGTGATGCAAAAGTCCTGCACCTGCAGTTTCATGTATGGACCTCACACGCGGCGGCCGGCGGTGGCTCAGATGGCTAAGGCTCTGCTGGGATCAGAGGAGAGGAAGGTGGAGATTTCCCTCTACACCAAAGAAGGTAAGATCCAGACAGCAGTTTTAGACAACATAACTGAACGCACCACTTTCTTTCACTTCATATATTGTTTGTGTTGTGATTCCCAATCACTGGGTCACGGCACACTAGAGTGCTGCCAGAGATATTTCAACAGATTTTGGAACATTTTTCCAAATCACACAAATACTGATTTACTCACTTACTTACAACACATTAAAACAATAAACATGTTCATAGTACAGTAGTCTGTACTGTACAAGGAAACACAACAAAATGACCTTTAACCCAATGATGTGTCTCATGAGACGATATTTTATTTCTGAATATGCAGTGAAAATCTGTGTTTAAGATTTCCTTCCGGCAGTCCAGCAGAATTCAGAGACTCTGGATCCGTGCCACAACAGTGTGCCAGCTCCCTCGGTGTTTTTAACTTTTAAAGATCATTTTGGTGGCTCCGGAGCCGCTGTTATTGCCATATTTTACTATTCCCAGGTGTATTGTCTGTGCCTGAAGACCAGAAGGATAAATGGCTTTAATATTGAATGACAGTAGCTGAGACAGCACTTCTTGTTTTACTTTGAGTCAGTGTCTCTGAGGATATTGGTTTCCTCCAGAGCCTCAGTCTAAAAATATTTTTGAAATTCGATATGACTTCGATAATAGTTCCACAAACATGATCACAATATTAAAGGTGGGGAAGAAAAATATCTCTGTGATCAGTGTCAAATAATGACAGATATTTTAATGTTAACTAAAATTCCACACGGGATAAACATAGTTTTGAACCTGATACAGAATAAAAAAACAAACACAAACGTTTTAAGTCTGGGCTGTAATAAATCCTCCAGATGTCTGGAGAGGTGGGGTCACATCAGGGATCAACAGATGAGGTAAGGCAGGAAGCTCCAATAAAGACATTGAATCTGTGGTTTAACTTGGAGCAGGTCCTGTTGTTGGTTTTACTTTATGTAAAATACATTTTGTTTTAATGAATTCATTGGTAGTAACAGTAAATAAATGACAGCAGCTTCATCACGAAGCAGGCGTCACAATATTCAGGAAATGTGTGTCAAACACATACACATATCTCTGATACTATAGTACACTATGGATGACATGATATGAAAAACGATATAACTTTCAAAAGAGGTTAACTGTATAAATAAATCCGTGCTCCTCTCGCTGCTGAGCTGTTGCATAAGCAAAATGACAAATAGAAGTGTATGTATGTATATATATATCTGGTACAAGACATATGATCCCTGAAAATGCAGTGATACAGAGAGGAAAGAAGGAAACTGGAGGAGAGGAGGAAGGTTTCAGAATGTCAGATCGGAAGGGCATTCTGACAAACCACTGAGTGTGTGTGTGTGTTGTTAATATGGAACTAAGGAACAAATAATCTTGTTTCTTTCTACGGTCAAACACTGACCTTTGAACTTGAGAAGTTAAGACTAATTCATACTGGCACATGGTTTAGGACAAGATGTAACAGGACATAACTGGACAGGTTTGGATCACTGTCACGTTTGTGTCTCTCCTCCTGCAGGAGTGTGTTTCAACTGTGAGATTGACGTGGTTCCGGTGAAGAATGAACAAGGTTTGGTCATCATGTTGATTCTCAACTTCGAGATTCCCACTGATTCTGAACCGACCCAGAGCCCACCTCCCACTGAGGTCAGCAGAGGGCAGCATATCCGATGGGTGATTGTGGGTACGTTGAAGCAACACAGACGTTTCATAAATTGTTAAACATCAAATTAAAAGTTACACATTGAATTCCGAATAAAAGCAAATAAAATCGGTGTCAGTGTCGCAAAAAAACTGGGAGCCAACCCAAACATGAGCAATAAAAAACCGTCACTGTCTCTCACTCAGACTGTGGGCTTCGCCTTCGCCTCTTCCTTCGCTCCCTCGGCTCCAGGTGGGGGATTGTGTCAGAGGACATAGAGCTGGGTTCTCCTCATGCTGTGCTCCTTCCCCACGGTCCGGAGTCTGTCACCCTGGACCAACTGCCCACCCTCCCTGAGGAGCAGCAGGTTGATGAGACGGAGGCCAGGTCACTGCTATCGGAAAAGGAAGAGTATGAGAAGGAGGTAGAGGAGGAGGAGGGGGAGAAGAAAGAAAAGTGGGGAGCTGAAAGAAAAGGAGAAAGAGGGAATTTGGTGGGCAATGGCCAGAAGAGTTACAGGGACACAAGAACCAAAGGAGGAGGAGAAGGGAGACAGTACAGGGAGGTGACCAGAGCTCCCACCTCTGCTCCTCCTGCTCTGGCCCTCCCCTTCAACTCAGCATCTTCTGCAACACGGTATGTGGTAAAAGAGCTTCTGTACAATATGAAAACGATCAACAGTGGACGAGTACAGACGTAGTTAAGGCTAACTCGGCTCTCTTTCCTGCAGATGTGATGGCAGCAGTGGGAGTTTGAAGCACACTTCCTCCTTGGACGATATGAAAACCTTCTGGGAAAAGAAGCTGCAGTTGAGACACAGCTGCACTGGTGAGCATCACACCACAGATTCTCAATGTCGAAGCAGGGATTTAGTCTCAAACATAAGCCATACATAATTTATACAGTTATGTATATAATTTATAAAACGTACATATATGTTTGTGTGTATTTATAGTACATAATTGAACATACATGTTATATATGAAATGTATATACATATATGTACGATGCAATATACATTTAGTGTTTTGCTTCATTTCCCCCCCGTCCCATAGCCCCAGTGGTCACCATAAGAAGGTCTAGCGGACATGTTGGGACATCAGACACTGACTCACGTTGCCGTACCAGCAGCCAGGTAACACACGCACAAACACCAACCAGGCCAGAGATGTTTATCCTTAGGCTGTGTTCAAATCACCATAACATGAAATGTATACATTAGACCGTGTTTCTAATACTGTTAGTGTTTCAAGTGATCGTGTCTGTTTGTGTGATTGATGCTACAGAGCCCTCCCAGTGAAATCAGACCTCCAAACAAACTGGTGGACAGGACACAGCAGGTCACTGAGAAGGTCACTCAGGTCAGTTAAGATGACTTGGTCCACAATAACACTGCTGAATTTAAATATCAAAGATAACAATATACATGTAGCTGTTCACCATTCTGTGTATTAACGGCCAGTTAGCGTAAGAAGCACATCTATGGATTTGTTTTTCATAATTAGAGACTGGCCAGCTCACATCACTGTCCATATAAATATACTCTAGTAGGCAGGTGTAAAAGGTCGTAGTTCCTGACCTCATCAACTGTTCCAGTACAAAGGCACTGAGTGTGAGATATTTTTACCAGACTCTTGTCCTTGTGATTAATGATGGGTCATCCTTTGATGGAGGTTTTTAATTGGGCCAAGATCATTTTACCTTATTTATTTCACATGTGTTTGTTTTGGTTTTGGGAAGGAAGAAAACAGATGGAGCTAAATCATCAGTAATTTAATTTTTCTTTTTGTAAGGTGGTAGTCGGTCACATTATCTTGTCTGTGGTTAATTTGTCTTTCATCAAAGTTTAGGTAACCTCTGTTTGTGCGTCTGTCTGTGTGTGTTTGTGTTGAAGAAAGAAAGTCTGTCATGATGTTTTATAATAAACACTAGACAACAGCTAATAGATGATCTTGGCCTTTGTCCTATAATGTGCACATACATCATCCCTCATGATGGTTAGGACAAGAGGGGAGGGAGCAGCACAAAAATCAGGAGAGGGAGGAGAACGGGAGAGCGCAGTGTGATGGGATGAAGGAGGCAGACTGGATCAGTGTATGGGACTGAAGTTGCTGAGGACGAGCGGTGCTAAAAAACCTGGGATATGGAAAAAGAGGAGCCGTCGTCCTACCTACAGGTTTTAGATCTGACTTAGAATCAGCAGAAGAACAATGAGTGGACAGAGTGGAGTTTTAGCTGCGTCTACTGTCATCCATCAACTATCAAAGGCTGTTGGAAATTGTTTTCTTAAGGACTTCAGACCGGGATGTAAGACTAAGACTAGATGCAGAAAAGAAAAGATTTTGGTTTAACATTTGTAGACTTGTACAAACGCAGGTAAAATATAAAATGTGCAAATTTTTAAAGGCATTTATGGAAACATTAAAAACAAATCTTATTGTTTTAAAGTGATACAGAGACTCTAACCTAACTTAAAAAAAAAAAAAATAGAAAAAGAACACTCGAGAGGGCTAATGTTGAAGTGAGAAAGATCAGGAACAGAAAGTTCGACTGACTGTGAAGAAGATCATGAGTGTTCCAGACAGCAGTGTTTCTCAGGACGGTGCTGGTACTGATCGGGGAAACACAAGGTTAAAGAGAACTGTCCGCATTTCCTCTGTAGTAGCTCATGAGGTAAGTTAGTCTCTGTGTGTGTGATGTTTGTGTGTTTTTGTTCCTGCTATCGCTACACTTGTGAGAATATTTAAATCAAAGGATGTACTGTAAAATGGGACCATACTTTCTTTATTTGTCAATTTTGTGTTTCTATTTTTCATGTTTTTTGTAACTCTTTCAATCTGCAAATGTACGATCTCTATTCTTAAGTTGAAAATGCCAGTGCATCTTCAATTAACTGGGAATAATCATCTGCACCAGTTCAGACACACGCTCACAACCTTGACTCTCCTTCACTAATTGTCCTGGTATTGCTGTTATATGACCATGGATCCCACGGGGGTTTAAATCTGTTTTTGATTAATTATGTTGCTCTTTCGCTGGGGTCAAAGTGTGTGTATATGTTGACATACGGTGACCGACTTCTACTGTGGATGACTGTATACATTCATTTATCTGCTGCTCGTTATGGTGGTGTGTGTGAGCAGGTCATAATAATAGTGATAATAATTGCACCTGCTATAATATCCAGTAGATACTGCGTGCTGTAAATGCACATCTGAAGCTTTAACAGTTTGACAAAGGTTTAAATACACGTTTATAATTGGGATTATCTATAAATGATCTTTATTGGCCTGTTCATGGCATCTGTTTCTAATGTAACCGCTGTGTGAAAAATGCTTACATTGAATGAACAGAAAACTTTCCTCCTTCAGGTTCTGTCTCTGGGGGCTGATGTGTTACCAGAGTATAAGCTGCAGACGTCCCGCATCCAGAAGTGGACCATCCTCCACTACAGTCCATTCAAAGCTGTGTGGGACTGGTTGATTCTGCTGCTAGTGATTTATACAGCAATTTTCACTCCGTATTCTGCTGCATTTCTGCTGAGGTGGGTGGGAAATTCACACACCGCTGGTTTTCATGTGACCCACAAAAGTTAAGTATGGAAATGTAGGGTTTCACCTGCTGCTAAAACGGACTGTACTTCAGCCGGTGGGCACTTTCAACAAACTCAGGCTTTTGCTGACGAAGCTGTGACCCAGTGTGGGATTGTCTGTTTTTGGAAGTTGCCTGTGAAAATGGGATGTCCCATTTCAAATGACCCTCTTTGAAGTACATTGTTTCACACAGTTGATTATTTGACTCTTGATGTATTATGAATTTCTTCACATGTGTAGAAGTCTGTAAATTCACCCTGTCCTACAGATAACTTCACTTATCTTTCTTTCTTTCGTAGAACTAAGGTCATGTGAATTTTTTCTGCTTCAGTTTTCAGGAGGAGGCGGCCATGCAGGAATGTGGTTACTCCTGTTCTCCCCTCAGCATCGTGGATCTAATAGTAGACATCATGTTTATCGTCGACATCGTCATCAACTTCAGGACCACATACGTTAACTCCAACGACGAGGTGAATTGACTTGGTTAGCTGGATGAGTTAGTAACTGTCAGATCTGTCAGAGGGCAGAGGAGCTGATTTTCCAGACCAGTGAGTAGTCGATGAAATGTTGTCTTAACAGAAAGGTTGTAAATGAAGGAACTGCTGATGCAGAGAAATCAATAATAAAGTGTCACATTCTGAATGTAGTTTTAAGTGATTACTGTAATTTCAATCTTGTGTGATGTATGTTTGTTATGAATATAGATGTGATAAATAAATGTATGTAAGTTCTCGACCCTGGAGATCAGCACTGATCTCAAGTATGTTCTGGACCTCTAAAGCCGGTGCCACATGACGACGCCAAAGTTTTGTCTCTGCAGGTGGTGAGCCAGTCCTGTCAGATCGCCGTCCACTACTTCAAGGGCTGGTTCCTCATTGACATGGTGGCAGCCATTCCCTTTGACCTCCTTATTTATCACTCAGGAGAGGAAGCAGTCAGGGGAGGTGCCGAGGGCGAAGTAAGGAGGAGCATAAGGACAGGTTAGATGTTATCAACCCCTCCTGTTCACTCACTGTTCTGTCCTTCTCTTTGATCTGATAACAGACCACCACTCTGATTGGTTTACTGAAGACAGCTCGCCTGCTGCGGTTGGTCCGTGTTGCCAGGAAGTTGGACCGTTACTCCGAGTACGGTGCAGCTGTCCTTTTCCTCCTAATGTGCACTTTCGCCCTCATCGCCCACTGGCTGGCCTGCATCTGGTATGTTCCTCATATAGACAGTATATATGAACTAGACCTCATACAGCCAGTATGTTCCTGAACAAAGTACTGTTTAAAGCCTCACTTAAAAAAAAAAAAAAAAGCTAGAGAAAGCATTTTATAAAACCAAATACATAATCTGTATCCACTAAACTCTCCACTATTTTTTAAAAGAGATATTATTAAATTTCCCCCGTGTTTTCATTTCAGGTATGCCATAGGTAACGTTGAGCGTGCAACGTCAGGTGGAATTGGGTGGTTGGACAGCCTGGGCGACCAGCTGGGAAAACCGTACAACTCTTCCATCGTCACATCAGGTCCCACCATCAGAGACAAATACGTCACGGCTCTGTACTTCACCTTCAGCAGTCTGACCAGTGTAGGGTTTGGGAATGTCTCACCAAACACCAACTGTGAGAAGGTCTTCTCCATATGTGTCATGCTGGTGGGCGGTGAGTTCTATGAGTAAATCTTACTAAACATGTTCACCTGTAATTGTTGTACTTTACTGCAGTTATTCATCCATTCATTTAGACGTTTTGATTTCCAGCCAACAAACTTTTCTTCTTGAATAAACATTCCTAAATCCTGCTGTTTCTCTCCCTCCGAAGCTCTGATGTATGCCAGTATTTTTGGCAACGTGTCTGCCATCATCCTGCGGCTCTACTCGGGTACAGCTCGCTACCACACTCAGATGATGAGAGTTCGAGAGTTCATTCGTTTCCACCAGATCCCCAACCCCCTGAGGCAGCGGCTGGAGGAGTACTTCCAACACGCTTGGACATACACTAATGGGATAGACATGAATGCTGTGAGTTGTGGTGGACTCAGTGATGTCATGGTTAAAAAATTGCAGATGTTTTGGTTTTATGTCTGTTCATCTAGCTCATGGTTAAAGTAATTCAGTAACCTAACAAAACTGTGTTGTTTCTCTGTTAATGTAAAGGTGTTGAAAAGTTTTCCAGAGTGTCTTCAAGGAGAAATTTGTCTCCACCTCAACAGGTCCCTTCTGCAGAACTGCACAGCTTTTAAAGGTAATCAATCACAATTTCCATAGACAAGTAAACATAACATAATTGCTCTCACAACCCCCTCCCAACTATACAGGTAAGGGTAAGACAAAATGTATATTTCTGTACGTATTTTTAATTTAAGCCCAAGCACTTCTAAATTTAAGCTCGTCCATTTTTTTATGTTTTTCAAGCTGCTGATAATCATCTGAATTGAAAAAAAAAAACGTTCAAATGATTGTTCAGCATGGAGACCTAGTGTGTTTGTCATGTTGTCTAGGATCTACTAAGGGCTGTTTAAGGGCTCTGGCCACAAGGTTCCAGACCACTCATGCTCCTCCTGGAGACACCTTGGTCCATGCTGGAGACCTGATCACAGACCTGTACTTCATCTCCAGAGGCTGCATTGAGATCCTTAAAGGAGACGTGGTGGTGGCTATACTTGGTAGGTACATCCTGGCAGTAATAAAGTAGAGTTACTGTAGGTACAGTAGTTGTCCATCTTTTTGATGAATAAAATTGTACATCATGTAAGATTAGATTGAAGATTAGATGTAACTGAAATGATGGGTATTTTCTCCTGCAGGTAAGAATGATATTTTTGGGGAGTCCATCAATCTGGATGCTCTGCCAGGAAAGTCGTGCGCTGATGTCAGAGCCTTGACCTACTGTGATCTGCACAAGATAAACAGGGACGATTTACTGGAGGTGTGTGTAAGGATGGATGCAGTGGCTGAACACTGCTAGAAGAGCAATTGCCAATTTGTTATAATTTTGTTTTTAAATTATTTTGCTTCCTTGATGCAAGGACGAGGTCGGAGTTATTCGTCAGATTAGATGTTTCAGTTCACCGGCTCACTGTTGCATGGTATAAAGATATAAAAGATGGCTGAGCAGAGATGAGGTTCTCTGACATGAAATGATTATCAACAAGGTGGCAGGAGTGTCACTCCTTCACTGGCTCACCTCCTTTAAAACTAAAATAAAACCTGCCTATATCTAAACCTGGTAAATATGTTGATCATGTGTGTGTGTCTGTGTGTGTTGTGTTCTTTAGGTTCTGGACATGTATCCTGAATTCGATGAATGCTTCTGGTCCAACTTGGAGATCACATTCAGTCTCAGTGATGTATGTTGCTTATTGTTATGTTGCCTGTATTTAGCTGGAACTACTATAGATGGATAGGCCCATATGAATTGTGTTTTATACAAATTAATGTTGTGGTAGTAAAAAAAATCAACTACTGCTGAGTCAGAGTTATTTTTCATTATAGGGAATGTAAATTATTGAGTGATCCATCAGTGAAGAAACTTTGGCTAAACTAAAATATATACCCCCTCTCCACTTGCCCCCTCCTCCCCCACTGTTTGCAGGTTGAAAATGAAGCTTCAGATATTCTGAGTGAAGAAGACTCAGAGAGTGACAGACTAAGTGGACAACAGACAAAACACACAGCCACCCACAATGGTAACACTTCACCCCTTCATTCTAACTAATGTATCAGTTGACCAAATTATATAAATGTGAATCTCTGACTAACAAACTGGGTTTCACTATGAGTGACATCACAACTGCTAGGTGAAAAAATGTGTGTGTGTGTGTTTAGGGTAATATGACAGTGACTTTTTTACGCTGTGACTCTCTTCTCTCTTCACTGTCAGGTGACTCTGTCTCTGCAAAAAGAAGGAGAGCCACCTACAAATGCAGAAGTGACAGCAGAGATAATTATAAGCATACACTGTAAGATAAATACACACAGGTATTCATGTTGTACAGCAGGGGTCCCCAACAACATGGTTTTTCCATCTACTCCTCTTTTCAGTGCTTCACGCAGTCACGCAGTCGAAGTCGATTTTTTTTCTTACACTGACAAATCCTCGATTCAACTTAAAATAATGTTGGGGACCACTGTTGTACCATGTTCATTCAACAGCAGCTCTCAGTATACTGTAGTAAAACAAATCGACTACCAACTGTTCCTGTAGATATGGCTCTGTGTTCTCGAGCGATGACGAGCTGGGAGATTTTGAGGGGAACACTCCAGTTCAGACTGTTGCTTCAAACAACAGCAGGAGCTCCAAGACCAACGTGTTCCCGGGAGTTTCTGGAATCTTCACTATTTGGGGTACAGACAGCCGAGGAGAACACATGTATCAGGAGGTGCCAAAATCACCACCTCCTCCTCAAAGAATCTCCCATCAGCAACAACAGCTATCCTCGCCTTCCCACCCTCCCTCCAGCCCTTCTCCTTCTCCTCCTCCTCCAGTCCCACCCCCACCCCCTCCTCTGACCACCATCATTTCTGGAAGGCAGAAAATGGTAATAGAGAGCAAACTGGATGCACTAGAGAAGCAGATAACCAGGTGGGTCAGTGCTCTCTTAATCAGTGTCCACCATTACATGTTGTATTGATCAGGGCTTTAACTAGTTTTGTTTATATTCTCCAAATTAAAATCTGTCTCTCTTCTATTTGTGTTTTCAGGTTGGACTCCTGTTTATCTGAAGACATCAGGACCATCATGCAGCTGCTGCAGAAGCAAACACTAGTCATTCCACCTTCTTACAGCACCCTGACATCAATACCAAATGCAATATCCACGCCCATCTTGTCACCAATGTCTCCATCTGTCCCCACCACAGACAAGTCTCCATCTGAAGTTGCCCAGCAGCAGCTGTCAAATGCAGAACTCAAACTTTCGGAGTCTGATTCCATCAACTGTGTATCCCCGGGTCTCAATTTTCCTCCCTCGCCGTCTTCTGTCGATTCTTAACCTTTTTATACAATATGTCTTTCGAGTCACTTCTACCTCCAGCATATCCAAAACACTTCCAGCATTCCCACCTTCCTCAAACCCTGTGCAATATTTTAACTCTGTATTCAAAACATACAACTGTGTCAGCAAAAAAATATAAGCAAAATATATCACTAAACTGATAAATATAGTCAGGAAGAGAGGATATGATTTGTCAAAAAATTTGCAAAAAACAGCTTTAGTATAATTATTTGCTTTCCTGGGAATTTTGTAATGATTATTAATGTAGATTCGCTGCAGCTAGATCATGCGAGAGTGATGTGCATGTTTCAGAAATTGAGAGGCAGATGCTTGGGATTAAAAGAATAAGAAAAATACACATTTTATTGACATTGTACATATTGCGAAACAAAATAAAACTATCCTCAGCATTTATTCTATCACTGAGACAGGACATGCGGTCAACATTTTACCGTGCCGTGTCAGCAGGGGGAGTGCTTGGGTCTTGCATAGTGCACCAGAGCCCAGCCGGTCGTGGGTACCGGCTGAAAAGAGACACAAAGATTAAGTGGACGTTTTAAAAAATCTGTCAGATTTTGAAAATAGACTAAAGCTGCGCTTTAGTTCAAAACATAAGGAAAATAAAGAAGACATTAACCAGCAGATCTGTCTTTCTGTCCAACCACTACGGCATGTCTTCAGTCTACCAATATAGCCTGTTCACCAATCAAGTCTTTAATAACTTTTGTCCATATAAGGTGCCCTTGCGTCATCTGGGGTCCTTAGGTCTCCTGCTGTTCTGGAATTTTCCATTGCATCGCATTGTCTCAGGATGGAAAACCACCAACAGGTTTACTTTTTTTCTTTATTTACTGTGACAAAACTATGTCTGAACTTCACTGAAAATAAATACACAATAATAATAATAGTTATTATTATAATTACAATGTATGCTATATAATGCTGCTGCCCGGCAGATAACAATATGGGGGCTGTTCTGAACAAAAATTATGCTAATTCGGTATTTATTACTGCCTGTGTACATTTCAGTGACTGGTTAAAAAAAGTAAATAGATAAACTGTTAGGGTAATTTGTTATTTCTTAAACCTTATTAAATGTTAAATACATAATTTTGATGGTGAGTTATTGATCCGAACTATGTTTAAGTTGGATGTATACGGATTTTGCCCCCTAAATACAAAACACAAATTTAAATTCCTGGTAAGGTATATTGGCAACAGCGTCTCCTATCGTCAACCGGAAATAATCGAGTTGGCAGGCGGAAGTAACCGCGAGGCACGTAGCTGTCGGCGTTAGGAGAACTTTATTTGATATTAAATAATAATTTTAAAAAGCAACGACGAACCTCCCTGTAGCATCACAGCTGCACCGACCGTAAAGATGTTCAACAGACAGACGAGCCTATGGATGGGTGACGTATGTGAAGCTCTTTTTTCCCCGTGTTTGAGATGTAGCTAAGCTAAACATGGTGTATATGTGAGGTTACGACAACCAAGTCGGTTGTTGATTCCAGTTTTAACCGTTTTTTGATGAAATTGGTGAATGAATGTCACACATATGTGCACCATATGAGCCACCATATGTGCCCGATGAGTTAACAAAGATGCAGTTATGTCCGCGGATTTTTATAGATGAATAAACAACGCGTCCCCATTGGGCTGTTTGGTTCACAAAACGGTATAATATTCATTACCGTGTCCTTAATTTAAAATACAGATATGAAATGTTTACTACCATAAAATAAAATAACTAATCAGCGGGAAGTGTTTGTACTGTTTATCTCACAATACTTGATAGTTGTTAAATACCTATTCAAGGGTTACTCTGGTAAACGTTTGTACATGACTGTATGTTAAACATTATAATGTCATTATGTTTTAGTTGGACCCATACATGGATGAGAACTTCATCAAGCAGGCTTTCAGTGCTATGGGAGAGTCACCATTTGGTGTAAAGATCATCACTCACAGAATAACAGGGTAAGTTATACACAGTCCCATATACTTAACATTAAATAGTTAAAAGAATAAATATTTGGAAATGTTGCAAAGCATTTCATTCACCCAATGTAGGATTGACATCTTGAGCTGACCCCTGCTTACAAGGTCTTGCAGAGGTCACATTTCGTTTTGAGCTGTGTCACGATAACAACAAATCACTTTAAATTAAATTGTATCCACGACTTGTCTCCTCCTGTGCAGTGGCTCTGCAGGATACTGCTTTGTGGAGCTAGCAGATGAAGCAAGTGTGGAACGATGCGTTCAAAGACTCAACGGAAAACTGGTTCCGGGTTCAAATCCGGTATGTTCTATTTTAATTGCAAAATATGTGTTCTTATGTTATAATCAAATCTTTGGGTAATCTTTGAATTTTTTTTCTCATCATATAAGTGCTAATATTTAATATTGCTTTTCTTCTTTTCCAGTATTCGACATGTAGTTTTTATAATTCAGTTTGTTCATTCAATAGTGGTCGTAACTCGGTTGTTTTTTTTTTTTTTTCGACATGTAGTTTTTATAATTCAGTTTGTTCATTCAATAGTGGATCGTAACTCGGTTTTTTTTTTTTTTTTTGTGACCCAGTTCAGAATGTGTTTCTTTTGCATCCACAGTTTTACTTTGAAACAAAAGTCTGTACTAATTAAAACCAAATATAAAAATTACAAGTTATATATACTGTTTTCTTTTTTTATATGTTACCTCCATTAACTCAAAGGTCTGCATTTGGTTCAGGTGCAGTAGCTTTAAAAAGGAAATGTAAGTTACACATTTAAATGATGTTTTATGTTGTTTGCTCGTGATTTTAAAATACTGTTAGTCCTGTGAGCTTGACAAGCTACTGGACTCCCCTGTCCACCGCCCCTTACCTGGCTAAAAGGCTCCCTGTATGTGAATGTATTTTGTTTAAAGCTGGTGAATAGAATCTCTAATAGGAACTAACTGAGGATTGGGCTAAAGGCTGGTCTGGGTGGTGGAGGTATGTAACTCTAAATAACAATAACAAGTGTACTCTCTGTTTTCAGCCATATCAGTGCTTTAGTACACGTCTTGAGTCTATGAGCTCTGCTCAGTGTCCTTTGTCTTCTCTTCATATGTGCAGCCACGGAAGTTTAAGCTAAACTATGCCACTTACGGAAAGCGGCCAGAGGCAGGGTAAGATGATACACGTCCTTAACAAAATGTGTTCCTTTTTTAGATTAAATTCTGTCAGATGTGATCACTGCAGACTTTCAATAAATATATTATAGGAATCCAACCTGGTCATCTTATTGATGTAAATCAGAACACATGGAAAATTATATAACCTCTCTAAATCTTTTGACAGGCCAGAGTTTTCAGTGTTTGTAGGCGACTTGGCATCTGAGGTGGATGACTTCCAGCTACACCAGGCTTTTAAGAAGTACCCTTCCTGCAAAGGAGCTAAAGTGGTCACTGATCAGTATGGATACTCCAAGTATGTGAACTGGACAACACCATGAAATTGAAATGTTTAGAATATTGGCTTTTGGATATCATTAATATCAAGTGTTTAAGTTTTGCTAGTTTCCTGATTATTTGAATAGCGCTGCTGTGGATGTTGGCCAAAAGTGCATCTTCATCAATTGTCAAAAAAAGGCTGGCGATATGTTTTCTTTGGGTTTTATGCTGAAACTATTGTTTTCCCCATATAGGCTAAGCAAGAGCAACTCACAATTGAAGTGATGGTACCTCATGTTAAAAGTAAAAAAACAAGTTTCAGTTCTACCATAATAATACCCATCATATTCCTTTTCTCATAATAAGTGTCTATTTAATTACCAAGTATGTAGCAAGTGCTGGAGACACACATCCATGTCAGTGTTGTTTGACTTCCAGAGGCTACGGCTTCGTCAAGTTTGGGGAAGAGAGCGAACAGAAGAAGGCAATCGAGGAGTGTCAGGGAACAATGCTCGGTGGAAAGCCACTCAGGCTCAGCATTGCTGTAGCAAAGAGGTAAGAAATATTAGCACAAGGTGATGTTGAGTACTTACAGTCATATATCATTATAGTATCCATGGAGGGATTGATTTTTGTTTTTCTCAGTGCAGCCTGATATTGTTCTGTAGCAATCTGCTGTGACCTTTTCCACAGACCTTAACAATTGTGTAAATGTTAACATTGCAGTAGAAACTATGTCTTGTGACATTGAAGAATCTGATGAAATATTTGGGTGTACACAAGCTTCATAATCCTCAAGCATTTATTTGTTTTTTTTCTTTCTCTGATGCAGTCAAAAGATGACCAGCTACCCAGGTGGTCAAGGACAAAATTATTATAGCAACTACAACCAGACCTCTCAGACCAACTACTATGGTAATCAAAGCAGTGGAAGTCAGGGCAGTTACTACTCTCAGTGGGGCAACTATGACCAGTATAGTGGTTACAACAGTGGCTATAACAGTGGCTACAATGGCAGCTACGGCAGCGCCTACAACTACAACTACGGACCCTATGGATACCCACCACCAGGTCACATGATGCCACCACCTCCTATGGGAATGCCACCCACGGGTGGTGATATGTCGGGGGCAGTGGAGGTAGGAACTAGAAAGAGAACTTCCATCAATAACTGACATAAATAAATATAGCTTTGTATTTATGCTCTGATTTCTTGTGTTTGTTAATTTCTTTTTACCTCTTCACTGCAGAGTCATGAAGACACTGAGGAAGTCGAGGAGGACAACACAGAAGGTACAGCTTATTTTTACTTATTATTTTTATTTAAAATGTAAAACAATTGTTGAACTGATTTAAATTGACTTTTTTTAGCAATAAAACAAATTAAAATTATTGTTGTAATTTTCTTACACTATTTTTGCACCTAATAAGTTGTATACATTTTGTAAGAAAACTTTTGTGCATCATTTATGATGACTAGTTGAATATTATTATATATGATGCACTTACATTTCTGTCAGCAGTGGTTGTCAAAATAAAAAAATCTGAATAAAACTTTTTTCAACCCATTACCAAATAATCCACAACTTGTTTTGGTCCCTGGTCCAGTTTCCATCACACAACAAGCTGCCCTTTCAATGTTTGATGTGCAAATATTCTCTGAAATATATATTATTTATATTTTTCTTTCTTTTTTTTGTCATTTGTCCTTGTTCAAAGAGCCCACATGTGAATGTGATGTGGAGCAGTGGAACAAGGACTTCATGCAGCGCAGTGAGGAGCTTTATGAAGCCATGATGAACTGTCACTGGGAAACACGAGACAATTTCGAGTACAACGCCTCCTCACTTCCTTCATAACTGTTGGCCAAGAAGTCAAATGCTCGTGATTCAGATGATGAAGCTACACCTATGCCTATCAAAGAGCTGTCAAGAGTTCACTTTCCTGGCAGCACACAGCGATGATCTTTGAAGTGCATTAACTGTAGTAATACTTCCAATTTATATCACGTTTGTTGTTATGCTTTAGTGGGAACTACCAATTGGTATGCATCAGAGGAAGAGAATTTGTTTAGCAATCAGACACTGTGTGAGTTCTATTTGTGTTTTACTCCATGTTGTCAGAGAAACTCATTTATAGTTTTTGAATACACTGTTACTACAGCCATACAGGCAGGAGATTTTCCCTTTGTTTTTCCACAGAGATTGGCAGTATTTGTCCTTAAAGTTGCTGGCAAAATGAAACAAAACCAATACTGTACAGAAGGTGAACAAAATATGAAGTTAGAACAATTACAAGTAGTTCAGATAAAACCATCATGACATGAAACAAACCTTTTGCTCATCAGAATTCTTTATCAGAATTTTCTATAACTGAAATTTCAGTTGTGGTTTTATTTCTATGGTAAACAGTACTTTTTTTTCCATCTTTGCCTTTTGAATGAATGATTTATATTAATGAAGGAACGTCCCCACAGTTGTCTTTGTATTTCTCATTTATTTATTTATTTTTTTGTCTTTCTATATTATCTATAACTTCAGGCTATAGATTACATAATAAAGAAAGACAAAAATACAAGACTCCACATGTGCCAAGTGTAATATTGGTGGTACCTGGGCTTCCAGTAGTAGTACGGGGGGATTTGATTCGAGTTAGGATTGAGTTGTTAAATGTTGAATTTCTTTTTTTTTTTAGTGTACTTCAGAGCATAATATGATAATAAAAATAACTGTAGACTGTAGATATTCTTTTGTTCACACTTTCTTTTAATTCCTTTGTTGTGTGTTTGCTAACATTAGATTAATGAAAAGAATCTCGTAAGAATAAAAGTCTATTTAATGTATGATTATAAGCATGTTTAACGTGAAGTCTCTGTTGTTTTGTTTCATTTAACTGTTGTGATCGTGGCTCAGTTCTTTGCCGTTAGCCTCACTGCTCTCAGTCTTTGTGTTAAGCAAGCCCAGTCCAGGCCTGCCAGGACAGAACCAGCTTGGCCCGTTGCGATACCAACCCTGGTAGAGTCCCCTCCAGCTCAAGCAGCCTACAGCGCCCCCCAGCAACTGTGCAGGGAACTGTGGGAAGTAGGCCAAGAGACAGAGTAAAAGGAAGATCCAAAGCCCTAACAGGAGAACACAGAATAGGAAGAGGATCCTTAGAGGAGCGTCTGAGACGCCTCCTAAACTCAGGTACGGCCCAAACACAGCTGTCTCCTCTGCCAGCAACAGGCAGCAGAGACACAGGAGGAAGACGTCCTCTGAGACTTCATATCCTCTCCACAACAGCCCAGCTTTAAGGCATTCAGATTTACCCCGATCTTCTCTCAGCAGCAGCAGAGGCTGGCCATCGTTGGCCTCTGAGCCAAGAGATTCATAACAACTTCCTGTTGCATCTTCCAGATAACTCAGGATTCTACAGAAGCTGTGCCAAAGTCCAACAGCCACCCCAATCCTGGACAGGTGACGGACAGAGAGGGCAACAGAGCGACGGATGGAGAAGGTCAGGAGGAACATAAAGGACCCAACGAAGATGCAGGTCCATCCCAAACCAGACCGCAGGAACACTCTGGAAAAGGGAACTAGAGGTGAGAATCTAGGTTCAGGTAAAAAAAAAATCTGAGCAAATAACTCAATAAATCACCCACAATCTCCTGTATTGTTTTAAAGTGATGAGGATGATTTTGTGTCAACACTTATATTCTGATCCATAATAATCAGTTAGTAACAGAGGCTCCTACAGAAACATAATGGCTTATTTGATTATTTCATAACTGTTTCTATCCCTTTAAACAAAGCAGAGATTTCTTTCTTGGGTGAAGTGTGAAAGGTCATTGAAGCTGTGGTGTGTACCAAACAAGTGAATTTGTTTCCTGAAAACATGGCTTTTCGTTCACATTAACAGTTAGGTGTGGTCCACCAAAAATGCAATACTAAAGTGTACAAAGCAAATGAAGGTCCAGTTTGATTAGGAAACAGGAAGTGTTCTCACCTGTAGATAAAGTGGCTCCTTTTGGCAAAGACACTGTGGCTTGAAACCCAGTAGCTCAGAGCAGGACCAAACATCACCACTGCAGATAGCAGCAGGTGAAAGTGTTTCCGGAACACTTTACTACCCAGGAGGTGGGCTGTCAGGTCCGTAAGGACCACGAGCAGCGTGTGGAGGAACATCTGGACCCAGAACCGATACTGACCAGATGAAGACTCACACGGCGTAGAAATGAGCAGCAGTTGGTCAAGGAATGCAGTAGCAGTTTGTTTTAATGGCACAATTTCATGTGACGGGGCTGTAATCCTCTTAAGAATGCAAGTAGTGCTGCTGCTGCAGAGGTAGTATTTCCTAAGTATGTGTAGAAGAAGGTATTCAGAGTTTTCTAAATACTGCTGATGGGAGCCAAGGCCTCAACATTTCACAGCTGCTGGTTACGTAGCAGAAAAAAACAGACACTGTTAGCGGCTGTTAGCTGGTGTTGGCATGTGGCGTGGATGAAGTGGTAGTCTGGAGTATTACACAGACTGATAATCATCTATAAACACTGTATGTTAATGCCAAAAATCTCATGTTGTATTCCATCACATCCATGCACTTTCCTGCACGTTCATCTTCTGAAGTTTTAAAGATGTTTAAAGTCTTCAGTCATGCTGTTGTTGTCCGAGCTTCACTTTGACCACAGCTGAGTCCAGACAGGCGCAGCATCAGTCTTCTCTGACCTTGTGGCTCCCACGTGTCTTTGTCCTGCTGTCCTCTGGTGCAGCCATTGTCATTTCTCCTGCAGGACTGAACAGACTGCACGGAGTATCGTCCAAGACGTTTTAACTTCCAAAGAAACCTGACCAGCAGCTGTATCTTCTTTCTTCCTTTCCCTTCACACACACAGAGACACACAAACGTGGCAATACTATTTATATTCATGCCCTCTCATACTTGGCCTGGATGTCAGCATAGTCAGATTATTCCATTAAAATGTTACTTCTGTGTTACTAACACTTTAGAGGATTTCTTCACAACTGCACATTAGCTGAAATAACAGACTGTGGTTAAATGGTGTGCATTAAAATAGGCAACATATTTGTAATTAGATGCTCTGTGCCACCCTCTGTGTTTGTGTGTGTGTTTCACTGTGTGTGTGTGTGTGTGTGTGTGTATTAATAGTAATGACCTTCGCACTGTATCTGGACTGGACTGACATTCACTTGCTGTTGCAGCCTGTTACTGTCAATCACATACTCACTCACACACATTCTCCTCCAGCTATTCTTGTTGGTATGTACAGTCAAACCAACCAGGACACTTTTCTGAATAACTCCTTTATAACCTTATCCTGACTAAATCACCTCAAACTATAACCTTAAAAAAAGAGATTTTTGTTCAACAACTAGTTCTTTTAATGACTGTTTTATCTTCGATTGTTGAAATACAAATGAAAATATGAATTCCATTGTTCCTTTTAATCATGCATTTATCAGTCATAAACAATTCACACTCACTTTCACACCTGAGGTCAATTTAGGTGGTTTTATAATATTTGGATTAGATATTAAAATAGTTGTTGTTGTGCAGCAGTTCGCCTGACGATGGCGGTATTTGAGTCATCATTGTTCTGTGTAACCGTCGGTTTACAGTCACACAAACACTGTATTGACTTCTGCTGTGTTGCTGCCACCTGGTGAATTGTATTGACTTATGAATGCGTTGTCTCGTCACATATATGTACATTTCTGCTGTGTTGCTGCCACCTGGTGAATAATTCCTAACTTGCAGCCTCGGTAGGAGGGAAACGTTTTGTTGATATTGTTTTACAATGTTAGTGGTCGCTGTTTTACATTTATTACATGTACTATATTTCCAGAAACAAGTTCCCTGGTTTGACCAGGGTGCGTTCCCCATGAGGATGATGAAATGAGAGGAGTACTTTGTGCTTTTGAGCAGATCCAGCTCTGTGCAGTTCTCTACACATTGTCTTAATTGTCTAAAGTCCATGTGTGTGGCAATGTAGGGTGGATTCTGCTCTGTAGTAAACACGTTATATTTTCCAGTGGTGGCTGATCACGTTAAGCTATGGATCTTTGTTTTCTCTCATGTAGCCTTTTCGAAAAATCCTGAGAATTCTAAAAACCTAGACAAGCTCTTTGGTGCAAAGCATGGACTGTGTGCTGGTCTTTTCCTGGTATTCTCCTCCAGACTCTTTTGTGGGTCGACAGCCCAGCAATACTTTTCTGGGTGTTGACTGACTAGATTCTAGAAATGTTTGTAACTGGTGTCTGGGTGGTGTCCAGTCAGCCCAAGGATCTGTCAGCTGTAGGATTTTGGTCTCTAATCCACCTTAAAACACTGAGTGACAAAAGAAACAGCTGCCAGTGTGTCCAAACTGCCCAGGGCTATGAAGCTGCTGAAAATGTTCCAAAGCAGAGATCCAAAAGGGAAGGACATGGGAGAATAGGATGGGCTGTGTTAAGCTGGATGGATAAAAATAATTTTTTATCCAGTTCTGATGTCACATTATTCCAGATAGCTAAACTGGGTTTTCAGGAAAAAACATTACAGTAGTCTGCATGCCATGGAGACTACAAGTACTTATAGGTTTATTTAGAATTTTTGTAAGATGAAAATGAATTGAATTGAAAACATGGACATTGGCTGTCCAGTGTGTACCCATCAGGGCAACAAAAGGTTAGAATGAATTTGAGAAAAACAAAATCTCTTTCTAATCTATCAGATGTATACAGTTAAACAGAATTACTGTAATTCAGAGAATAAAGCCACAGCTTTGAGAAAAAAGTGAAAAAGTGGGGATTATTCTCCATCAGATATACAGTATATAATATTAGATATATTTACCAATGGCTTATACATGGTTTGGCTCTACTTTAAATGCTGTACATCAAAACAAATATAAGTACAAATTACTCCTAATATTTACTGTGATCACGATCCTGTGAGGTATGTCTGAATACAGTACTGCATCACTACTACTGTATAACTTTGGTTGTCAAATTTAAATTGTAGCATATATACTACTTTTATTTGCCTTTGTTTTGCCCTTGAAGACTTTTATTAGTTGAAGTGAGCCTTTGTCTCTGGGGGGCCTGGCTGCAGCACCACTGATAGTCAACACACTCGAACAATGTTGATGCGGTCACACGGTGCAGCAGCAGGCAGTGGGCTCAGACACGGTATCAAACAAAAGGTTTATTAATATCCACTGGCTCAGAGTATTAATAACCTGCATGCATTCTTAATGCCAAAATGATGAGAGGACAATGGTGAGGGCAGCTTTCTAAGGATAGAGCAGTGATCAGTGTTGTATTCCACTCCTTATTCAAACCAACCAACAGTGTTAAAGCCTGAGGGTTTAAATGTATTTATTTTTATTCAATGGTCTTTCTTTGATCTGCATGCAATAAAACAAACATCTAGAACAAGCAGAAACACCTGTAATGTAGTATTGTTGGACGAAGTGAATGACCTTTATAGTGAAAATATAATTTAGACCCTGACATTGCAAAAGAAGACAAATTCATAAGCTGTAAAATTGATTGGTGTGATAGAAACTTTTACATCATATAGAATTGAGGTTATGAAATGAGCTCAAACTCAGTGGAGAAGGTAGTATTAGCACATGCTTCAGCGTAAAAAGTAGGATTGGGGTCAAAAACAGGTGGAAGAAGTGTGATGTGATTGAACCTACATTAGAAAAATATTTAGCTATATTTAGCATGCAAAAGAGTGACCTCTTACCTGTAAGGTCGGCACTTCAAGCATGTGAGGGATCAATAATCCCATGTTCACACTGATGAGCACCAGAGGTTTGGATGATTGACCACCTAGACCTCTGAGGTCTCAAGAAAGACTTAAGGCAGAACTGACACAGAGTAATCCTCACTGCCAACACTTGTATTTTTAGATACAAAAATGGACAAATTAAACTAAAACCATTGAATAAAACTGTTGTCTCTCTTTAGGCTCAACCAAATGCGTCGGGACCTGATGGCATAGAGCTCATTCTGGAAGTAGAACTTCTCATGTAAGGACAGCAGACTGTAATACTGCAGGCACTCGGAGGGTAAATATTGAATTAACCTATGAAGGACAGCAAGGGATCTCCAAGTGTCATGCCAGAGATCAGGACTCAGGATGATGGCCAAGAATCTCTGCACTCGTCAGAGAGACTGTTAACAGATGTGAGTTATAGATAGATGTAAACAATATAGAACAATATAAACAGAACACTCTGATCCACACTACAGATTGTGGACCTTGGACCCTCCCCATCAGGGATCAAGTTTATAAATCAGTGCTGGTCTCACTTATGACTGGTAACATAAACTGAAGTATAAAACTTCAGTTAAAACTAATATTAAAATCTCACCTTCAGTCGAAAAACAAACAGTACATGTAGTAATGTGAATACTTTCTGAAGGTGCGCCTCCACGTCCTTCACCGTTGATGTTTAACAGCAGCTGCTCCTCAACAGCTGATGTGGAGGTTGACGGACAAATTTTAAAGTTTCATCAGGCAGTTGTCAATTCTCTGAAGCGTTCTCATGCGTGTTCCCTTGCGTTTCATCAGTCCACGCAGCTACAAGCAGGAGGTCATGACAGAGCTGTAACTCAAGTACTAGCGATGCTGAGTCTCAGGATGCCAAACACGTGTACGCTTCAAGCATTATACAGTGTATACACCCGACCTAAAGCCTTATGGACATGAGTGTTGATTCATAAGTTATCACCCTATCATCAAACCACTTAACTCTGCTGTCACCAGATGAGCAATGTATCACCTGGTGATAGGTCACGTGACCTTCCTGTCTCTACAATGATAATATTACACCATTACACTTTTTGTTTTCAATAAAACCTAGTTAGATTTTTAGTTTTATTTTATTTTTAGGAAGTTTACTGATGGTTCAGAGACACTATGTGTAGCTGACTTTCTGATTATATTAATGGTCACTTCTTACCTAGAGTCTGAGCCATGGGTTATAATGATGTTGAATCTCTTCTCCACATGACCTTAAGTCAAGAAATCATGAGATATCTGTCTGACAATCCATGTCACTGTCAGTAAAGTGGTTATGGGCATAATATCAAGCAGACAAAAACAGAAAATCAAGTTACACACTGCAAATATCTCTGACTAAAAATGTAATGACAGCCAAAGGTAGAGTAGGAAATTTTGCAATGTAAAGTAAAGGCCGGCTGTGTCTATAAGATGATGAAGTGCAGCGAATGACGTGGTGGTATCGTAAATCTCTGCCAGTAGGTGGACGTGCGATAGCCCCCGGCCTAGGGCATATGTGGTCTTCTGCCCTCAGCTATGTAGGTGTATTGTTTCAGACCAAACTGACAGGTGAGGCAGGTCAAATCTAATCCAATATACAACAAAAGAAGGACAAAGTGTTGCATTGTTATGATTAAATGTCTGTTATACAAACTCTTTTCCACAGTTGTTGACATAAGACACATGTAGAAAAATACTACATTTAGGACCTGTTACACAGGAGAACATTAAACAGTAAATAGTACATTGGAATTACATGTGAATTTGTGAGAAATCCTTCAATAGAAAAAAAAACCCTCAGTAATTTAATGGCATACTGCTTTATTGTGATGCTGTGTCCTTCTCTCAGCCTCCTCACAAACGATAAACAGAATCTGGTTTCTGTCCATGGCCAGTCCTCACTTGGTAAAAGAATTTGGCACATGAGGTGACAAAAAAAAGTTTAGTAGAATTAGAGATAGAGAGGCTTATGGGTGAATCATGGCTCAGTCATGCCGAGATATTTCCTGGCACTGCTCCCGAAAAATCACATTATTGGGACGTGATGGGAGACAAACGGGAAAGGAGGGTAGCCAGGCATCATGAGAGCTGAGCCCTATTACAATAGATGAAAGTGATGGTGACTACCAGTGTTTGTGTGTGTGTGTGTGTGTGTGTTGGTGACCAGGTCAGGGTGGTGTCCTTGGCCTTTTAGGGCAGGGTTATCAGGGGTTATATATTTGATTCCTGTGAGAAGCTGCAGGTCTAGTAACTGCATTCTCCTCACCGGCCACTGTAAGTCTGAACAGACAATTGTGTTTTTGTTTTGATATTGAGCCTGCCTGAATTAAAGCTGAAATATTTTGTTATCATTTTTCTCAAGGATTTCTTTCATTTACTCTATTAATGATGACTGTCGTCTCATTTTTCAGTATTGACTTCTGCTCATCTGCTTCACCTTAAGCCGGAACTCACCTCTCTTCTGAGTTGATAACACAGGTAAGTTGTCCACTGAGGTCAGGGCTGTTGTAACAGAACTACAGTATGTTTCTCTGTAGAGCCTGCATAGAGGGAAGAGTGAGAGGGAAAGAAAAGAGAAAACAGTACCAGGTTTAAACCATAACCATTTCTGACGATGGTTTTCATTGCTCTGCAGCCATGGGTGACCAAGAGATGTCTGTGTTCGGGGCAGCCGCCTCGTACCTGAGGAAGTCGGACAGGGAGCGTATGGAGGCCTCCACACGTCCCTTCGACATAAAGAAGGAATGCTTTGTACCAGATCCGGTGGAAGAGTTTGTAAAAGCGAGCATCATCTCCCGAGATGGAGACAAGGTCACTGTCGAGACACAGAATGGGAAGGTCAGCAGTTCACTCCTGCTCTTTACTGTCTGTTTGTCTGGTCTGGTTGCTGTGGTTAGTGTTTTAACAACATGGTAAATTAAAATAGCAAAATTAGTAAACAGTCTTACCAAAAAACACACTGCAGAAGCAGAAATTTAGATTTGTGACTAATCTACACTAATAAATATATACATGAAACATACATTAACTTAAAAACATTAAAAAAATTATAAGAGCCTTTACTTTTATTTCTTTGTGTTTGTCTTTTTATTTTTTAAATTTTAATTTGTCACACATCAATATAAATCTTATAGCCCATATGTTATATATTATATTATTTGTCCATATTAACAAAATGTACCTGTAAAGGTGCAATAACCGACAAAAAAAAAATCTCATACAAAAATGTCCTAGATGTATCCCTTTAGAAATGTTCATTAAAACAAAGTTGCACAAAATCCCTGTGTGTTGAGATCAGAACTTTTGGCTATTATTATTAAAGTCATGGTGCAATGTTACCATTTCTTCTGAGAAAATGTAACCCTCAAATTTGAGCTATGTTGCTCAAAAAGAATCAGCCAATCAATAAAATCAGCTCTCAAAAATAATAATGTTTCCCACTGATGGTGCACTTGTAACCTGCTGGTACCAGATAGTTACCAGATTTTGAATCTAATGGTCCAGGGAGCCAGAAGACACACGATCTGCTTGTTAGTCTTTGATTGAGAGCAAGTGAGAACCTGGGTGTAAAGCCACAAGTGATTTGATCTGTCTATATGTGAGTGAGTGTAAATACATGTTCAAATTGGACCTTGAGTGCCTTGTCAAATAAAGAGTCTCCTGACACAATGCTAAGCAGCTGAGTGATGAAGTGAGGAATGGCTACCATCTTGCCATAACAGTGTGAGGGACATACATAGTCTGTGCTGACAGTAACAATGCTGCCTGTATGTTTGCTCTGTGGCTTGTTGTTATGATAAGGTAGTGATCATTCTCAGTCCTAATATTCTGTTGCCCCCTTTTTAGACTGTGACTGTCAAGGACGTCCAGATTCTGCAACAGAATCCTCCCAAGTTTGACAAGATCGAGGACATGGCCATGCTCACCTTCCTCCATGAGCCAGCAGTGCTGTTTAACCTCAAAGAACGCTATGCAGCATGGATGATCTATGTGAGTAGATCAGACGAAGTACACGGACCTCAATTAATTATACTTTTGTTTGGAAAGACAAAACCTAGTTCAAATGTATAAAATATTACAGGAAGTCAAATAGTTCCCGGAAACATGGATACAGATACATCTAATCCTTTGATTTAACATTTCTGGGACAAAAAAAGTCTGAACAGTAATGACAAGGAAGTGACTGTTTTTCACAGACCTACTCTGGACTGTTCTGTGTGACTGTCAACCCCTACAAGTTTCTGCCAGTCTACAACCAGGAGGTGGTTGTTGCCTACAGAGGAAAGAAGAGGAGTGAAGCTCCTCCTCACATCTTCTCCATCTCTGACAATGCCTACCAGTACATGCTGTCAGGTACACACAAAATAATACACATAAATTAAAAAATAATGTAACTTAAAACTTTACAACTAACAAAAGTTCACTCTGACATTTTTGCTTTCGTAGACCGTGAAAACCAGTCTATCTTAATCACGTAGGTAACACCTCGTACTCTGAAGTTTGATGATGCTCTGCACATTTGCATTCTGAATAAACATTAATTCACTTTGTGTTTGCAGTGGAGAATCTGGTGCAGGAAAGACTGTCAACACAAAGAGAGTCATTCAGTATTTTGCCAGCATCGCAGCTGGAGGCATTAAAAAGGACCCCAATGCCAAAGACAAGGTAGAGGTTTAACTGAGACAATTCTGTTACAGAGGAAATATGAACAGCTACTGATCAGTAGTAACTGTCAGTATTCCTGTGTTTAAGGGAACCCTCGAGGACCAGATCATCCAGGCAAACCCGGCTTTAGAAGCCTTTGGTAATGCCAAGACCATCAGAAATGACAACTCCTCTAGATTTGTGAGTGTGCATGTTTTTTAAAATTTAATTTCAATTTTGTGAGTTGTAAACATGTCAATCAAATGAGCTGAAATAAAGATGTGTTTATAAAAAATATACTCTTAACCTTTTAGGGTAAATTCATCCGAATTCACTTTGACACCAGAGGAAAGTTAGCCTCCGCCGACATTGAAACTTGTAAGATAAATAAATACACAAAAGTTATGTATTGTAAATAAATCTGTTCTTTGGAACAGGAAATAACCGTCAACTTTATTGTCTGTCTTGTGTTTCTCAACTATCAGACCTTCTGGAGAAATCTCGTGTGACTTTCCAGCTCAAGGCTGAGAGAGATTATCACATTTTCTACCAGATTTTGTCTAACAAGAAGCCTGAAATCCTAGGTTAGTACTATAGGGTGAAGAAAACACAAAACATTTGTCATCTTCTTTGTACTGAAGCTTTGTGTTTACATGCCTGATATTTGAACATCCTCTAAATTTGTCACACAGAGATGCTGTTGATCACAAATAATCCCTACGACTACGCCTTCATCTCTCAGGGGGAAACCCAAGTGGCCTCCATTGATGACGCAGATGAACTGATGGCAACAGATGTCAGATTCTCTGTTATTTACAAATGAATAAAATAAATACAATAAAATCACACTGACTTAATAAATGACAATGTATTACTTTGTTCTCCTCCACAGAGTGCCTTCGACGTCCTGGGCTTCACCCAGGAGGAAAAGAACTCCGTCTACAAACTAACTGGAGCCATCATGC